ATTTTGTGTGTAGTGTGAATCAGTTGTCTATGGACTTCTAGTTGTCCAGTACCATTTGTGAAAAGAATATTCTCCCTACTGCACTGTGCTGGCATCCTTTTCCAGAAGCAAGTAACCATAAAAGTAAGGGTTTATTTGTAAACTTTCTGTTCTACTATTCTAGGAGATAGATATACATCTATCTGTCTATCTATCTATCTGGAAGTATCATATTGTTTTGATTATTGCTGTAACTTTTAAAATTGGAAAGTATGAATTGCCCAACTTGGCTCCTTTTCAAAATATTTTGGATCTTTAATACTTTCATATGAATTTTAGAATTAGCTTGTCAATTTCTTTTATAAATCTAGGTGGAATTTGGAAAGAGATTATGTTGAGGCTTAAAGTCAGTTTGAGGAGTTTTTCTATTTTAACAATGTGAAATATTCTAATGCATAAACATAGAATGTCCTTCTTTTATTTCAGTGATTAAAAACCTTCAATAAAGTTTCCTAGTTTTCAGTGTTCAAGTCTTGCATTTCTTTATGATATTTATTCTAAGAATCTGTTATGGATTGATTAATACGTGAAAGTCTAAACCCCTAAGACCACAGAATGTGACCTTCCTTGAAGACAAGGTCTTCCTTCACAGAGGTGATCAAGTTAAAATGAAGACATGGAGTGCCACAAGTCAATGTGACTGTTATCCTTTCAGACAGAAAATGTGGAGCCAGATATACACACAGGGAGAATGGCATGGGAAGATGACAGAAGAGATCTGTAAGCCACAGAACACCAAAGACTGCCAGAAAGAATTGCAGAAAACACCACAGAAGCCAGAAAGAGGAACAGTGCAGATTCTCATCACAGTCACAAGGAACAACTCTGCTGACACTTTGATCTGAAAAAAGTGAGAAAAAAATTCTTATTGTGTAAGCTACCCACTTTGCAATACTTTGCTATTATAACTCTTGAAAGCTAAAAATAACAGCTTAGTCAGCTTTTATGCTATTGCAAATAAATTTGACTTCTTAATTTAATTTTGATAGTGTGTTTTTCTACTGTGAAGAAACAATTGGATTTTACATTACCATTTCCTAGTACACTTTTATAATCATTTTAAGTTTTATAAAGTTGACAGTGATATGTCTTATTTCATGTCTACTTTCAGTAATTTGAATCTTAACTTTTTTATTAGTTGGTTTATAAAATAATCTAGTTTTAAAGAAGCAAATTTTGGTGTCATTAATTTTCTGTTTTAGTCCAGTCATTCATCTGCACCTCAGTTTTACTTCCTTTTCTGCTTGCACTGGGTTTATTTTGCTCTGGTATGTTATTTTGTTAGAATGGATCATTAGCCATGTTTCATAGCCACACTCATTTTAAAAATACAGATATTAGCAAGTATTAATATCTAAGAGCTAGTGATGTAACCTAAAAGCTTTACCATGTGATATTTTTATTTCACTTACGTGGAAGTACCTTCTAATATCACCAGTAGTTTTGTTTTTGGCCTACTGGTCACTTCAAGGTGTTATATTTAATTTCATATATTTGTGAATTTATTAAATTTATTTTTGATAATGATTCCTGTAAGGCAGAATCTTTTTTTTTTTTTTTTTTTTTTTAGCTTTTTCATTTTTTTCGGTACCGGGGATCGAACTTGCGACCGCCTGCTTGCAAGGCAGGTGCTTATGCCACTGAGCTAAATCCCCAGCCCCAGGCAGAATCTTGATGGGGAAAGTTCAGGGGGAGAGGCAAAGAAAGGGAATGTGGGGTATGATGGTTAAAGTGATCAAGGTATGTTATATACACATACTAATTTCCCAAAATGAACAACACCATTATAATCATAAACTAATGGAAAACATACATTTTCAAAAAAAAATATTTAAAAAAAATCTTAATTTCACTCCCAAGCTGTCAAAAAACGTGCACTATCTTGGCAATATTTCCAAGTTTTTTGAGCTTGTTCTATGGCCTAGCATCTGGCTTATTTTAGAGAATGTCTCATGTGCACCTGAGAACAGTGTGTCCTGATTGCGTTAGGTGAAATGTTTTACAGGTATTTGTGGGATCTTATTAGATTAGAATTGTTCAAGTGTTTTATTTCCTTTTGACAGCCTACTTGTTTTATCCACACTGTTGATGTACATATTTCTTACTTTAATCAGTTCTTGTTTCATATATTTAAGTGCTTTTTTGTTAGCTACACAAATGTCTTCGTTAGGAATTGGTTTTTTTATTATCATGAAATGTCCCTCTGTTTCTAATAACACTTCTTAAAGTCTTTTTTGTCTGGTATCAGTACTACAATTTCCGTTTCTTTTAGTTATGTTTTAGATGGATTATATTTTCCCATTCTTTTACTTTAGCTGTAGTAGAAATCTTCACAGCAGATGAACCACAATGGATAAGATCTCTTAGAAAATCAATGAAAGAAAAAGAAAAAGAAAAAGCAGAGAAAAATGTTCCAGATCCCAGTCAGAGAGGATCCTAAGGCTTCCTTTCAAATATTTATCATGCACCTTTCTCTTGACTTAACAGAGCCCTGATTTTGTTTAGTATTCATCTCCTCCCAGACAAGTCACGCAATTAGAGGAAGCAAACCTCTTCCCAGTTTTCAGGGGTTCATTTGCTGGCTTCAGGATCATCTCATAATGCCTTGTCAATAACTCAGTAACAGATCCAGAGTAGAAATGTGACTTAAATTGGCTCAGTCAGACTGAAGGAAAGGAGAACTATTCCCAAGTTGATGGAGAGATACACTCTGCTTCTCCTGGGAGCCTGTTGTCAGCTCCTTCTAACTAGACTGCTGCTGTGTGTTTGGAATGACATGGTTAGTACCAGTTGGAAAGTGTCTCCCAGGAGATTTTGAGAAGGTCATTTATGATTGATGTATTGGCTCAACAATGTTATGGGATTTAAAAATTCTTCTCAACCAACCAGTCCAGATGCTGCTGACAGGATTTCTGTAGTATGCTGGCAGCAATCATGCAGTACCCTGGCAGCCATCTTGCAGTATGCAGGCAGTCATCTTGAAGTATGCTGACAGAGGGATAAAGCTGACCAAAGAAGAAGTGTAAAGTCAAGAATGCTTTCCCTCCATTATTCTACCCTGAAGTCTGCTCTAATGCTTGGTTTCCAGTTAGATGAATAAATAAAATTCTATGCTGTTTAAACTAGGTTTGAATTTCACTTCTGTTACTTCAAGTTGAAAGCATACAAAAAGCTACAGTAGGAAAATAAACTCACAAAGAGATCAAGAAAAAATGAAGAGGATAATCAGTTGAATGTGATCTGATCTGAAAGCAGATGAAATTTTACAAAGGATAAAACAATCATAGTGCTAACTGTAGTAGTTTTATCAAGAAGGATGTTTCCCCTGTACAGTTTCTCCTGTGGATATGAATCCTCTTAAAATTCATCTTCAGAAATTGTCAGCATATCATGGTTTTCTGATCTACAAAGTTATTCAAGGCCTAAATGTGGACAGTCTATTTTACAACTGGACTGTGATAATTATAAGGTATGTTTTTATAATGAAATATAGAATGACCAATATCAGTAAGACCTACTTAATGTAAGTACATTGAAGTCACATTGAAATGTCTCTTTTCCCCAATCAAACCAAATTGATGAAGTCTTGTAAGTCTCTAAGACATACTTTCTTCAAAATGTTCTTTTGCAAAAAAGATAACAAAAACTTTAAACCTACACCCAACAGTAGAAAGAATATACAAACTCTCCACATATCCATCACCCAGATTTCAGAATTAGCAATGTTTTGTCACTCTTGCTCTTCCTTACTGCTTCCCTCACATGCAAAATCAATCACATGAAAATCAGAATATATTCTCTTCACATGATTTACCAACTATGCATAAATAGCAATTAGATTCCTCAGGAATCTAGAATATGGAATTAAATCTTATGGAAGCCCATAATGTACATGACATTTTTAAATATTTTGAGTTAAAAAACAGTATCATTGAAACTATGAATAAACTAACAATAAGCCCTACTTTGTTAGTGTGTTTAAGAAGAATGGGATTACCAAAGCAAAAATATTCTTCTAACCTTTGCCTATCCAAATCATAGACAGTGTTAAAGTTCAGACTTAACTTATTAGTGTATAAACTTCCAATTGTTTATAGCTAGTAACTTGTTAGATTCACATAGCTTCTCTACTATAAATATCGGCTAGAACATTTACTAACAATATTGGTATGAACCACAAGTACACTTCAAAGTTTCCAACAGTCTTACAGAGGGACTGAAAAATGAAAGCTATTTGCTTTATTCTCTTGAGATAGACTGTCACTATGCCACTGAGGTTGGCCATGAATTTGTGACTCTTTATTTAACCTCCCGGGGTGGAGATTATAGACATGTAACACCATGTCTACCTCAAAATTATTTTCTTAATAGTACAAGATTTTTCTGCTCTTTTCATGATCATTTTTGCACAGGTACAGTGTTTTCCAGGTGCTGTTTGATGTATAATATTATTATCCTAATGAGTTTATGTATGAAGTTGATACAAGAATACTATGAATCTAGTCATTAAAATAACTTGTAAAAATATAAAACAATTGCAGTCTTCTCAGTACACTTCATTTTGAAAACATAATTACTTTATAAAATATTATTCATATTAACATGTAGTAGTCATTAGTATTTTATAGAATTCACACATTTTAAAAAATTTTTCGTAATTTTCTCTCAATTTTAATTTGTGATAGTACGCATAGAGACAATCCACATAAACAAAAATTTCTTGGGATTATCAGTAATTTTCAAGAGTGCAAGGCCATCTTAGGTCCAAAAAGTTTGGGAACCAGAAAACTATCACCATTTAAAGGTCACTTTGGGCAAAGAAAGTGAAAAGATACTTTTTTCCTATTTTTGCAAATACCACTGGAAATATAATCTGTCCTCTTTCTGACATTCCTTTCCATGATAAGCATTCTCTAATTTTGAAGACAAAAGATGAGGGTGATGTCTATGGTAACACTCACCTTTACTAATTCCGTGTAGCCTGTCTCACTTGGGGTCCACCATGGTTGGGCTTTCAGTCCATTCACATTGTAGAGTGAGCGCTGCCAGACAGATGCAAAATGTCCTCTCTTGTGGCCAAGTTCATACCACTTATACGCCTGAAAAAAAAAAAATAGAAAGACTCTGTCCCTTACCACTCCTTCAATGAAGTGTTTTTTATTAATGTTAAAATTAGAGGTATCAAAAATAAGTGTTAGAGGGCCAGACATATAGCTCAGTGGCATAGCGCCTGCCTGGCAAGCCTGAGGCCGTGAGTTAGATCCCTGATAGAAAAAAAAAAGTGGTTAAAATGTATTAGAGATATTAAGGATATTACTGGGCTTGGATAGGATTATGATAAGTGAAAATACTCTAAATGAAAAACACATCTAATCCACCTAAGGTGCTTAGTTTAACACAGTAAATTGTGGTGTGGTGGTTTCCCCTCGTGATCACATGGGTGACTTGGAGCTGAGACTCATTGCCACTGTCCAGTGTCACAGTTGCACTGTACTATATATATCGCTAGCCTGGGAAAAGATCACATTTTGAAATATGGCTCGCACGGAGCATGTACAGCTTTCTTGCCACCATAAGTTGAAAAATCTTAAGTCTATCCACCTTAAGTCAGGGACTGTCAGAACTTGCCTGTTAGGTGCCCAAATCTATAGAAATCTGGTGACAATATTGTTATTTCACTGTATTTCTGATTATTGTGAGTTGGTGCTAAACATAGTCATAGCCCACATCACATGTCTTTTCCTTTTGTGGCACAAGGGATTGAATTTATGATCATCATACTGAGCTACATCCTCAGTTCAAAATTTTTATTTTGAGACAGTGTCTTCCCAGGTTTCTAATTTTACCATGCTGGGCTATAACTTGATATCCTCCTGCCTTAGCTTCTCAGAATACTAGGATTCAGGCTTCCCCAAAGAGAAAGTGCAAATCTGCCACTAAATTAAGTAGACAGAAAAGAAAGAGTATTCTGAGTCACTATCATAGTTAGACACATCTCTTGTTTTTTCCTTTTTATGGTACTAGAGAATGAAATCAGGGCTTTCACATAGAGCTACATTCCTGATCCTTTTTAATTTTCACTTTGAGACAGGATCTTGCTAAGTAACCCACGTTGGACTTCAACTTGGCATCCTCTTGCCTCAGCTTCCCAGAATGCTAGTATTATAGGCATGCACCATCATACTTGGCTTCATAGAAGATTTTTTTTTAAAGGGAACTTTTCTTCCTAACTCATATATTTTTTTTTCTGCCATAGGGGGTAATGCTTGTGGCTTTATGCTGTCTACAACATGATACAACCAGTCTCTATGAATGTAACATTTCAGAAACACCTGATTGTGGAATTCCTGGCTTCTCATGGCTCCTCCCAGTGATGTCCTAGCCATGTGTTCCTGAGTGGCTCTCCATACACATGGCCTGCCCTGTGTATGTCCCATTGTCTTTGCCAAAGAAGCCTTTCCTGGTGGTGCATGGAATCTGATCCTCTCTTTTAGTACAAGTCTGCTGTAGTGATTATGTTTGAAGAGTGATTTCAAACATATGTTTGATGGATACAAACAAGCATTTAATGTCAACTTGTATATCTTTTTTGATGCAAAAATTTAACTTCTACAAATGTGTTAACATTCATATTTTAAATTTTTCTTCATTAGATAAATGAAATATGATAGCAATGTCACCTCATATTTTCAGAAAGACTGTACAGCTTACCACTTACTTTTACATCTCATTTAATCTAACTGCCCCGTATAGCTCCACCTCACAAATGTTGAAACAGGTATATAAAAGGTAAATTACAAGAACAAAAATTCAAGCCTCCTGGCATGTTGGTTAATCCGCTATCAGAATATAACTATCAAAAGAGATTTTCCTACTTAATACCTGTCTCAATATCCCAAGTTAAGAATACATATGGTAACCATTCTTAAATGTTTACCTAGAAATACATGTAAACTGTAGCCAGAGTTTCTTTAGAGAGGGTAAAAGTACTTAACTATTGTTGGGTTTAAAAAAAAGTGTATTCATTTTTGAAAGTAATTTTACTATCGAGATTTCATCATTTGAATTTAGGATTTGGTGTTAAAGTGATGAATAGCACTGGTGAGGTAGCTCTATGAACAGTGCTTGCCTAGCATTCTCTAGGGGCTTGGCTAGATCTCCAGTACTACCAAATAAACAAGCAAAAAGATATTAAGGAAAGTCTGACAGCTCATTAGGTTTTGTGTCATCAGCAATTCATTTCACAGATTAAGCATATTGATTGAACAGTGAAAAAAAGTAATTACAAGAAACCAGAAATGGCACACATTTGAGGAGTTAGAATTCTTAGTTTCTCAGTCCCATTATACCAGCAGGTTAAATGAGTCCCAAGTTGAGACTACCTGTAAGGTCTGTCCTAACTTTGAGAGTAAATGCAACTGCCTCAAACAGGACCTTTAATTTTGCACTTCTTTCCCATTTAATTTTTTGGAGTAACAAAATGATGAAAATGCTGTAATACAGTGAAAAAAACTTTATTAACATTATATAGGGGACTCAATGAGTTCAATTAGATTTTTTAACATGTAAACCAATCTAAAATAAAAATTATTAGTAAATCCAGTCAAATTAGAAATACTCAAAACTTTCTTCATTATGCTTTTTCCTAAACAAGAATTTTATACTTATAATCAGGAATATTAAAATTTGATAGTAAGAGTACTTGGGCTACTTATATGTATTCTATAACAGTGCCATCTTTACTTTTATTAAATTGTTTCCTGTGTGGTCTTATAGCATACACATGTATGCACGCATACACACACAGGTGCACACAAAGAATACACCGAAAGTCTTTAACTCAAAAGAGCTGGGCCACATCTGCACGGTGGGCTGCCACCAGTGGCACAGCTGAGCCTGAGCCGCCCACAGTGTGCTGTACACAGAAGCCTGCAAGACACACTTCTGCAAAGTACAGCTAGCTGCAACTGCCGGTACAATACTAAGTGCTATTGCATGGATATAGGACTTAGTTTTATACAACAGTATTTTTGGGCACAGGGTGACCTGGAAGAAGGTGAGACTTTCACATGAGAACAAGGATCTCATAGCTGTCGCTGAGGTTCCAGGTAACAAAGGTTGGGATTAACAGCCTTGAGACAGGAAGGAGGATGATGGGGCTGATGAAAAGTCAGAACTTGGCCTGACGAATGAGGAGTGAGAGAAGAAACAGGAGGGTAAATAAAGCAGATTTTCACCTTGATTCTGGAAAGCTGGCAATATCATGGAATAAGAGGTGGGACCCAGGATAAAAAAAAAATGGCTTAGAGGAGGGTGAATTACCTCTGTGATGTCCATGTGGTGACACCGAGCAGGTAATAGACATATGAATTAGGCTTTGAGAATGAGACTAGACAGGAAGCTAGAATGTGGAACTGGAAGTTACGGAAATGCTGGGAACTACTAAAGCTGAACTACCGAAAAACTACCGCAGTTTGTCTCTGACTCTTATCCTACCCATTATTACAATACTTTTCTTCAAAACCCATTTGATCATCAGCCTTGGGGTTGTGGTTGGCTCTCAGGTATCCATCCTCTTTCAGAGTGCAAAGAGAGGTCTTGCCTGAAAACACAAAGTGTGGGGCTTCCTGACATTCCATATCACAGGTGCAGACTCAACATCTAGAATCAGGAGAGCACTAGAATGGCATCTGCAGGCTTCTTTCCCTTCTCCTGTGTTGACAAATGCTTGGAAACTTTTAAATTCAAGGACTATGCTGCCCTTTGTATATTAATGATAATTAAATCAGTAGAATCGTCCTACATGTTCAAATACCAAACCCTTTAAAAGTGTTTGTGGTGAGTTCTTTTTCCTTGGAGTAAGAGCTGTTTTCATGTAAGATGTGACACAAATCATACAGTTCTTTTATCTGTCTTTATTCTAGACTCTGAAATGTTCAAAGATAAATTAATTATTGACAATTATATCTATAATAAACAGACACAAACATTTATCTAGTGTTAGATACTGTAGAAAAATTTTTCTCCTCCCTTTCCTTCAAAGGATTCTTTTTACATTTAAAAGAATGAAGAAAATAAAAAAAACCTAGTCAGCAATTTTATCTGCCTTATTTTTCATCTACCATCTCATGCTAGTTTAGTTAACTGATTGGTAAATCAGGGGGAGAAGTATATATTAATATAAATAAAGGAAACAAGTTCAAGAATCCAATCTTCCTTTACCACAAATTTGTTCATGTCTGCAGCAGGCAATTATCCTATCATTAGCCCTCTTGTTTCTCTGAACCCCCCATTGTCCAGATTGTCATGTGTTCTTATTTACTTTAGAAGTCTTAAGCTGTGTTATCCTTAGTTGTCACTCTAACATATTCATAGAATGCACTGGTTACAAAGAATCAGTATCTCACTTTACCCCTTTGCCACTGACTCTAAGTACAGCTGGACCTGTGAGCTCTGAAATGTGAAGGGTTGGGGAGATGACTTGGTCATTCAGTAGAGTCACATTAATCACAGCAGACCATGGAAGGTGCTTGAAATTGATAGTATATGATGTCACAATTAATGGTCCAATACTGTGTTTATAGAAGCTAACAACTGTGCTCAGGAAAAAAGTAGTAATCACAAAGAAAATATGTAACTTGTTTTAGTTACTACATTATTTTATGTCAGTACCTGTTATTATGTTCATTTTAAACTTGGCATCAAATGTTTCATAAGTTACATAGTTAACCAATAGGATCAACATGTACATAGGTTGAGCAAAGACTTCATTCTAAGGATAACTCTTTTTACAGTTCCAAAGTGAACAAAAATAATATAAGAAAACCATTAAAATATTTTAAAATTAAAGCAACTTTATTTATGTCTTCATTTTGTCATTTTAAAGAATTTTATTCCAAGGTAACATCTATTTCTCTACATATACTGACATAACAGATGTGCAGACATACACACTCACCAATTTAGAAGTTTTGTGGTTACTTAGTTGATTTGTTGAAATACACTATAAAAGTCAAATCCCTCAAATAATATTAAAAATAAGATTAAGCTAGAATTGTTGTGTTAATTTGTGTACTATTACACATAGCTAATTTTTAAATCATTAACTTCAAAAGTTTGTGCATACAATGCATTTTCAGTTGTAATTTTGTCCTACAAAAAACCTTACACACATGCACACAAACACACAAGCACTTCATCCTCTTTAGAGTGAAGAAAAAGCCATCAACTCATTACCTCCTTATTCCCAACCCTCTGCATGGCATCTCCCAAGTGAAAATAAAATCGCCCGTCATCCGTTCCTGGATCCCCAGACTCTATGCCTTCCTGTAGAGAGAGCAGTGTTAAGATCTGAGACAGAATCAAATATCTACCAATTTTCATTTCTTAAGTTATGTAGCCTTTCTTAGTCATAATATTGCACATCACAGGATAATGTAAGAACTAGAAAAACACATTCAATATTAAAATTTAGCAATGAGATAACTGGTCAACATTTACAATGCAGTAGCAAAAGGAGATCATGAAGTACAATTTAACAGAAAATTTATAATTAATTGTAGAATTAGTGTAATAGTCCACAAAATTAGCAAAATATTTTGTGCATTTCCAGTGTGGAAGCAATCATATTTCAGTATTCCAAGTAATTTCTCTGGCTGGGTATGTCTCATATTTATTTTGCTCTCCAAATCTGACCATATGTCATGCAGAGTCTTTCTATTTCTGTACACTAATGTTTAATTGCTCATGTCTAAAGTAATGGAACCCTAACTGCAAGTCATATTTCTTTACACTCAACAAAACATGTCATGGTTTTTTTAATGAAATTTCTTATAAAACATAAAGGATTCAAGTCAATTGAAATTTTGAAAATTTTATGTTTTTATTAAATAACTACTAAAATAGTTGATTTCTCCAATTCTCCTACATCAGGAATTATAATTGAAACTTACGTTTCAAAACAAAAAGAAAGCATGGAAGAATATTAAATCGAGAGAATGAACTGAGAAAATCAAAAGACTAACAAATGTCAAAATATTTAAATGCCAAGGATTTCTTTTCTAAAAATCTTCCTCTTTGACATCTCTTCATAAGAAATCCCTTTCCTTTCACTCAGGAGAAATTTTATTTACATAATGTTAGAAAACAGCAAGTGACACAGTGGACTGAGTGATACCCAAACATCCTGCTTCTTTACTAACCACAATTTCCTATCACTGAAGGGGAGAAAGTGTAGTTAGGCCCTCCTGGGTGAGAGGACAAATAAGAAGAACACTTTAAATCACAGGAACACAGATGTCTGCAGGACACTGGCAAAGGCTGTACAAAGCCCGCCCTACTGCCCAACAATCAGGACAAACGGGGGGACACAAATCCATCTCAAGGGGTGCTGCTGCTTGGCACTGTATTCCAGAATGCTCGGCCAGGGTCATGGGTCAGATAAGACCTTTCAAAAGCAATTGGCAATGGATATAATCATATAATATGTTCATATTTTCAGGGCAAACAATTTAATTTTTTTCAATAGAACTGTATTGGTCAAATAAAACACATAGGTATTTGTAATGAATAGGTTAGTACTTGGAATCTCTGAAATCATGTAAAAGAGATTACAGAAGTGGAATGTACAACTTCTAACCTGCTCAATACAGCAGCTACTAGGTACATGTTATTATTTCAGTCAAAATTAACCAAAATTCCTTTCCTAGTCACAGTTTAAGATGCTCAGGGTCACATGTGGCTAGTGGTCACTATAGTAGAGAACACAGAGAAGAAGTGTTTCGTGGCAGAAAGTTCTATTGGATAGTCTTAAGCTTAACGTGATTTGGGTGATCTAACAAGGGTTCAACTGCATGAGAAAAAGCTAGTACACTTTAATTTTTAATATTTTAAGGTATCAGATATGCTTTTGGGGGTTTGACCTATTCAGCCTATACCTGGCACCTCACTTCATTTAGTTTATTATAAGTCCTTTTCAGAGAAGTAGAAATATATAATTAACTTGTAAAAAAAGAATTGAGTGGATTGTTCATTTTTAGAAATATTGTGTCAATAATTGTGTCTACTTTGGCCATTATTTAAAAACTGTAACAGTTTTGGCTTTATGAATTTCTTTATAAAGTCTTTTCCAAATAGCCTCTGCTCACATAGTTGGTATTTCTACATATGATACCCTCAGTCACAGTGAAGGTCCACACTGCCTGTGAATGTCATGGTCAGAGGGTGTACATCCTGATGATGAAAAGACTCAGCATGAATACCAATCAGTCTACAAAGGCACTAAAAGATGAAAAGGAAGGAAGGGCAGTGACAGTCACCTTCAAATAGGGGATGCTTTCAGCAATCTTGTTCTGTGCCTTCAGGATGAAGCCGTAATGTACTTTGGCAAAGCCATCATTAGGTGTCACATTCAGAACCTGCACTCAAAGACAGTAAGGCACTATTGTGATACATTATAAACCGCACAAATGACTGCCAAAGCAAATTTTAATTAGTTTGCTATACTCAGATTGGATTACAATGCTGCCGCTTAAAACACCACAGTACTTTGTCTCATTGCAATCATGAAACTTACAAAGCCTTTTTCCTCTCAAATCAATATGCTTTCACATATACACACTGGTTCTTCAAGAAAAAAGGAATGTGTGAAAAGACAGTAACTATTGAAGCACTGCTTTAACAATGCAAATTAGCAAAATATCCGTCAATTGATAAGACCTTAGTTATTTTGTTTTGTTTTTTAGTGATTAGGGAAAACTGTTCTAAATTTGCTATGCTTTAAAACAATTCTGAATGGTTATTACATATTGTTTTGTATATGTGCTATCTACATTGTCTTGATTAAGAGAAATTTAAATTAAATGCAAATTTAGGTTTGCATTCATAGTACTGTATATCAGGATCTACCCCTTAAACAGAAATTTCTTGAGTTGATCAGACTGTTTTAAGAACTAAGAATGATGGTGAGCAAATCTGATATTCTGTGACAAAATCCAGGTAAATATTTCATTTAAAACACACCACTGTTTATTAATATATTTATTCAATATGATCTCAAGATAAATCACACAAAATGCCTCTAAATGAAACATTAGCAGTCAGAAATCAAAACACAACAATATTCAGCTTGAAAAGCTGCAAAGACAAATGAATTTTTGGAACAAAAAAGAAAGATGACAGTCTGAGTTGGGTGGATGGAGAGAAATCATGCATGACTGGTCTGTTCAATTTCCAGAGTAGGAACAGGAATGCCATGGTCACCACAGAGAACTTACACAGGAGGGGCAACATGTGTGGTAGAGAGGGGACACCACAGGCTGGACTGCACAATGATCACACTTGGACATTTTCAGCTTGAGTCAGATTCCACACCTCATCCACTCAAAATCCTGCCAACATAACCTCCAAAGTACTTCAGAACCACAATGCCTGTCATTTCCTTCACCACGGCCACCTTACCCAAGCTGAATCATCTCTCCGCGGCTGTACAGGAGCCAGGTAACTGCCAGCCTTCTGTTCCCTGGTCGTCTCCTGGGGCCTTAAAGGGACTTGCTCAGCCATGGGTCAGATCTCATCCTTCCTTTTGTCCCTTTGAGCCAGAGTAAAAGACCAAGTTCTGGGGACAACTGCGAGGCCTCCTCCGGGCTGGGCTTTTCCACTTCTCTGGACCCCGCTCTTGCCCCTGTCCGTCCTCCAGGTACACTGTACTCATGATGCTTGTGGTAAGTCAAAGGGAGCGCTGCTGCAGGACTTTGTGCTCACAGTGCCCCTCTGGCTCACACACTCATCCCTCAGACATCCAAACAGTTCACTCCTTTATCTGAAGGATGGAGCCCTTGCTCTGAGCTCACCACCTCAATGAAGCCTACCACTGACCTCCAACCCCACTAGTAAACAGACCCTCACCCCAAGACTAGTCACTTTTTTCTCCTGGTTCAGTTTTCTTTATTGCACTCATAGCCATCTGACCTATTAGATTCTTTATTCCCTGTACTCTGACGATAAAGGTTATGTCTGCATGGAATGTTGCTCACCTTCAGTGCCTGACACAGAGGGTCCTCAAGAACTCTGTGATAAACGCAGCGATGGGTGAGTTAAATGCATGCTGGGCTTTTCTTCCTAAAAAGACCTCTGGAAGCACAAGCTCTGCTGTTTCTGCACCTTCCATAGCACTGCCTCCCCAAACTGAGCAGGAGTTTAGTTATTACCTTTGGAACTGAATTGAAAATCTATAGATCATGCTTCTGCCCCATTGCTATGAAGGGATTACTATAGCTACATAGATGACATTTTTGCCTATAGCAGGCACACATCCATCATCACAAATAATTTACAAAATTAAATTTTGTGACAGTTAAACTCAATTGTCAATTTGATTGGCTTAGGAGTCGTCTAGGTGATTAGGAGAGCACATATTTAAGTGTTCAGGGCAGTGTGACCTTGGGCTCTGTATCTGGTCACTGGTATCTTCTGCCCGACTGTAAGTACAGTGCTCTGCTACCCAGCTGCTATGAACCTTAGTTCAACTTTCTATGCCATTCCATTCTGTCATGATGCTGCTACCTTGAAGCCAGCGGACCACACAGGCTGAACCCTCTAAAACCATGAGTTAAATAAAGCTCTTTTCTTTTAAATTGTGTGTGTTGGGTAATTTGCCTCAGCAATAGATAAGCTGAAGATACTGAAAACTGGTACCAAAGAAGTAGGGTCATTCCTTTGGTCATACTTTTTTTTAAATTTTACTTAAGAGGAAAAAGAGAAAAAACAAAACAAAACTAGCAGTGTAAGGGTACAAGTAATACAGAACTACAAAAAAAAAAAATAAGAAATCACCAGTTAATAGATTACATATTATCATCTTAGAGATAGTTGCTCAAGTCACAGTATCAAAGCATACAAAATGGACATTCAAACAGTGAGACTGCAAACAGTTGTGTTCAATGATCCAACCAAAAACATTAATATGGTCAGCTATTTAACATTCCTAAACACACTTGCTGTTGTAACTTTTAGAGCACTTTTTTTCCTTCTCTTTTTTACAACAAAATTTACACATTTTGGGTTTTATTATTCCTTAGTTCTTATTACTTTTTTTTGGGGGGGGAGAAAATAAAGTCAAATATGGCAAAACAAAGCTGTCAGTCAAAACCAAGGATAGACATAGCACATGATGTAAAAACAGAGTATACTCTGTTATCAACAGAGTTATCAACAATGATTATCATAATGTCTCTTGTTTCCTTAAAAAGGATTGTCTATCTCATTATAAAGTTGAACAAAACAGTAGAGAACAAGACCAATAAAACTTAAGCATTGTAAACATTGCAGGACTTCCAAAGGAGACAATAGTCAAACCAGAATGGGCATCTTAGTTCATCTTATTGCCTTCAAAGTAGTTGCCTATACCCTCAAACTTGATACTATCATACAGAATGGAACAGAGTCTAATCAGTCAAAACAAGATACTGGGAGTATTACAAGACTTCAAAACAAGTTATTAGGAAATCAAAAAAAGTTACTATTATATATCCTGCTAATTTTTTAAAATTTTTCCCCTTAATTAAAAAAACCATAAAAAATAACTAAATAATTTTTTTAATGAATAAGGAAGATATTGAGATAAAACAGAACATAACAATATAACAATACAGGTCAAAGCATAACTGTTTCAACAACCTAGTACTTCACCACCTTATAACCTGACTTAATAGTAGTTACCATAGTGTCTTTTTCCTTGAAATATTTGGATAAAACTTCATATACTCTAACTTCAAATATTTCCATATCAAGAAGCCCAGAATAAAGCCTTTCCAATTAATAAGTGAAAACTTTATAAGGCTTCAAGGCCACATAATGGGGAATCATGATTACCACATATTTTTATATATTTGAATCATTACTTACTTTAGGGAAACTTTCATATTCACACATGGGAGATTGATTTATTTCACTTATGAGTATGGTCTTAAGCTGTGCCCAATTATTGATAAATATCTCAATGTGATCCTTTTCTATCTGAGTAATACTCCATTGTATAGAAATACCACAGCTTTTTTTATCCATTCCTCAGTTGATGGACATTTGGGTTGTTTCCAAGATCTGGCGATTACAAATTGTGCTGCTATAAACATAGGTGCACATATATCACTGTGGTATGATGCTTTCAGTTCTTCTGAGAATATGCTTAGAAGTGGAATAGCTGGAATAAATGGGACTTCTAATCCCAGCTTTTTGAGAAATTTCCCGACTGACCTCCACAAAGTTTGTACCAGTCTACACTCCCACCAACAGTGTAGGAGAGTTCCTTTTTCCCCACAGCCTCTCCAGCATTTGTTGTTGTTGGTTTTCTTGATCCTGGCCATTCTTTCAGGAGTGAGATGGAATCTCAGTGTGGTTTTAATTCTCTAATTTGCATTTCTCTAATGACCAATGATGATAAACATTTTTTCACGTATTTATTTGCCATTTGTATTTCTTCATCTGAGAAGTGCATATTCATCTCAGATGCCCATTTTTGGATTGGATCTTTGAATTTTGGGGGTCTGAGTTTTTTTTAATTCTTTATATGTTTTAGACAAGAGTCCCTTGTCTGAGAGAAAGTTCACTAAAATCTTTTCCCAGTTTGTGGGTTTTCTTTTCACTATGCTGGAGATTTCTTTTGACGTACAGAAACTTTTTATTAAGAAGTGGTCCCAGTTATTGATTCTGGGAAGTATTTCCTGTGCGGTTTGAGTCCTGTTCATGAATTCTCTACCTACTTCTATGTCTTCAAGGTTTCTACCCAATTTGTCTTCCAATAGATTTAGTGTTTCTGTTTTAATATTCAGATCTTTGACCCATTTAGATTTTAATTTAGTACATGGTGATAGACATGGGTCTAGCTTTAGTTTTCGGCAAATGGAGAGCCAGTTTTTCCAGCACCATTTATTAAAGAGACTGTCGTTTTTCCAGTGAACCTGCTTGGCTCCTTTATCAAAGATAAGGTGGTTGAGTGTGTTTGTAGTTGTGGTTGTATCTTCTAATCTATTCCATTGATCTTTGGCTCTGTATTGATTCCAATACCATGTTGATTTTACTACTGTTGCTTTGTAGTACAACTTCAAATCAGGGATTGTGATGCCTCCTGCCTTGCCTTTGCTGCTCAGAATTGCCTTTGCTATTCTAGGTCTCTTCTGCTTCCAGATGAATTTTAGAAGTGATTTCTCTAGATCTATAAGGTATGGTGATGGTATTTTTATTGGGATTGCATTGAATCTGTATAACAGTTTTGGGAGAATGGTCATTTTCACAATGTTTGTTCTTCCTATCCATGAGCAAGGGATGTCTTTCCATTTTCTGAGATCATCTTCAATTTCTTTTTTCAGTGTATTATAATTTTCCCTGTATAGGTCTTTCACTTCTTTCGTAAGACTAATTC